CAAGCTTGATTCAGATTTACAAAATATAAAGTCAAGAAAGCGATTCTTCTCGATTTGTATAAAGATAAATAAGACTAAGGGACCACATAACTTCTAGAGATTTATGTCAAAGAAGCGATTCTTCTCGATCTGCACACCAAGATCAAAGACCAGACTCCAAAATTGGAATGGAGAAACAAATGGTTAGAGATTTTATAGATAATAAAGAAGTTGGCTATGACAAGTTCAATCATCCCTAGACATTTGGGGGTCTTGAAGAGAAATTTCTTGTAGACATTATGAAATTGACCAAAGAACAACAAGAAGCTGATGACAAGGAAAATACTCGGCATAGAGATGTAAATTTGATCACATTCTTATTTTTTATTTTTTTGCAATGGAAAATTCATCCTGCATTGAATTTGATTTTTATGATCGTCTTATTACGTTGTTGGAGAGACCGAAGTTTCGTTTGGGACGACTTTTTTTTATTGCCTTTTAAAATAGCGTTTTAGTTTAAAAATTAATTTTTTTGTGCTTAAATTCTGCTTTAATAAGCAATAAAAAAGTCGTCCCAAACGAAACCTAAGTGCGATTAATACTCAATATCAAGAGAAACTGGTAACGGTCCGAGCTCAACAAGCTAGCCTTAGTGATGAATTTCTTCGCAAGGAATTACAGGTTCTCCATAAGCAATACCCAAATTTTCATCGCTTAGTCGTTCATTTTTTCTTTAATTGGCTAATTTGATAGACATTTTTAGAAACTCATCAATATTTCGATCAATATATTTGTAATTATTTATATGATATTTATATTTGCCAAACTCTTCTTTTACATAAGACTTCAACGCACCAACTGCTATCTATCTTCTAAGTGCTGAAGCAAATTAATTAAAGCATGGCTTTGGCACTTGGGAATACAACTTTTCCTATTAAACTAATAAGCAGCTGCTAAGGTTGTTGTAAATCTCTTGGCTTTAAATGCAGTAGGTTGGTAAAGCACAGTGCAAAGCTTATGATTTGCTCGAAGAAGGCAGGAAATGGAAATCATCTCTATCTGGAGGACTTGGAAATATCATCCATGCTTGGTAAAATCAGCTTCCCTTCCCATTTTTTATTTAGTGTGGCCACTGTTGTTTTGTAGGTAAGAATCGATCTCTTCATATAAATGCTCATAACAATAGGAGAAAAGAAATCTATGGAAAATGATAATGATGATATATTGTTAAAGGTGAACGTTTTGTTCATGTATGTCTATTTTTATATGTAAATATTCAAGTGAAAGGATCAGCATTTGGAAGGAGGGCAGAGTGCATTATGGACAACTTTCCGTAGAAAATATCCAGTTTTTAGTTCAATTTTTTATAATTTTTTTTATAAAATAGATTTATCTTAATTAGAAATTTCTTTGATACTTTCTAATTTTATTTATAGTTGCATCATGTTAGTGGAGACTGATTGCACTTTTTTGGTACATTTAGATTCCTCATTTGAGGCCAACTGAATACAAGAGAAGTAGATTAGCAAGGGCTCGAAAGATAGTTCATTTCTGCCTCTCTACTATTTCGTCTTCAAATATTATATAATGAATTTATCTATGCTATTTTAATTGATATATGACACCAATCAAGCATTTATATATATATATATAAAATGCTTAAATCCAATGAGCTTCTATATATAATTATTACTCTTTCTCATTATATTTATTCATTGTTGCTTTCCTTACAAGTTTATACTCTTGTAGATAATGCTCTATGTCCAACTTATTTTTTTTAATCACTAATGTAATATTCTAATGGATATTATACTGATGTAAACAATATCAATGGATTAGGACACTCTGCATTAGACATTAACAAACTTTTTTTACTTTTCATCTAACACACCTATAATGAGTATATATGAAAAATAACATAAATTTATATGCCTATAAATCATATGTAAATATACAAATATTACATGTAATATTCATAAAGTATTTAAAATTTATAATATCATTTTCTTAGTTTTTAAAATTTTATAAACGTGCACCATGATAAGATGAAGTGATAAGCAGTATGTCTTATACTGCTGCAGCTGCATATCATGATGGTTTCCAGCCACTACTCTGCCGCTGCAGGCAAATGCTTTTACATATTAAATCAAAACCGTTGCTGCTCAACTGATTTGATCTAACCGCTCCTGTAATACTTAGGTCATCAAATATATATAGTACCTGTAGCTGAGCAAAAGGGTTAGAGGAAAATATTATGAAATTCTATTGCAGCGTCTCCTCTCTTTCATGAATTTCTCTTCTTTGTTATTTCTCTGTTCTTGCTTCCCTTGCAGGTGTTGAAGATAGAACAAAGTTTCACATGGTATCAGAGACCAGGTTGTGATCTCTAAACAACATTTCTTCTCTTCATCTTCATTCTCAGAATGAGTACAGCGGAATCTTCAACCAACGCATCCTCCGTTTCTTCCCAGACTTCGGTGAAGATGAGTGATGCTGTTATTCCACCGCAACTGAAGTTTCTTATGCTCAATGTGAAACCAGTGATGAACATCCAACTCAATGCAGATAACTATCTCCTTTGGAAATTTCAAGTTCTGAAGCTTTTCACGGCAAATGGTTTCGACGGTTACTTGGATGGATCAACGCCCAAGCCGGAAAAACACATTGTAAAAGAATCACGTGAAATTGCTCTTAATCGTCACTATCAAACCTGGATTCTTATTGATCAAAATTTGTCCACCGCATTGTATTCGGTAATCTCCCCAAATCTTTTGCCCTACATTTTGAATCTGGATACATGTGCGGACATCTGGAAAACTGTTGAGCGACGTCTTCAGTCCTCCAATCGTTCTCGATTTCTTCAGTTGAAAAATGAACTACATCATATATCGATGAAGGATCGAACTATGATGCAGTATCTTTCGGACATTAAGAGCAAGTGTGATACCATTGCTTCGTTCGGCACTCCGCTAGATTCCGAAGATGTTATCATGTATACTCTGAATGGACTGCCCTCTATTTATCAGTCGTTCAAAACTTACATTCGAGCAAACTTGCAGCCGATGAATCTGGACGACTTTTATTCCTTGTTGTGTAGTGAGGAACTAAATATCGTTGCTGAAACTGCCCGTGAAAACCAAACTCTTCAGTCCACCGATCCTCAATTAGTGATGGCTGCTTCTCGGGGTCGTGGATGATTTCGCTCAAACAGAGGACGTGGTAGATATACTAAAGTTAATTCTTCTCTTGTGCAGCAAGCTCCCCGACCAACTGGACGAACAGCCAATAATTATATTGAATGTCAAATTTGTAGTAAGCCAGGACATTCTGCTTTTAAGTGTTGGCATAGAGTTAATCTTCAGTATCAACCTGCTTCTCTCATTGCATATGTTGCCAGCTCAGCATCTAAAATGAGTGATTGGGTGTTAGATTCTGGAGCAACTTCCCATTTAACTCCCAATTTTACTCAACTTCAGAATCCTCAACAGTACATGGGATCTCAACAAGTTCAAGTCGGGAATGGAGACATGCTACCAATCACTCATTCTGGCCAGGGCATTCTGCCAACTCCTCATCGTAAGCTTCTTTTAAAACCATTACTCCATGTTCCCTCCATTTCTCATAATTTAATTTCCATCAATAAATTAGTTAATGATAATCCTTGTTCCATTCTTTTTGACAAATCTGGCTTTGCTATAAAGGATTTGAGGAACAATCAAACTCTTCTCCAAGGTCCTTCCCATCAAGGCCTCTATAGATTCCAAGCTCCTCAACAACTCACCCAACCTCCCATTGTCCTACTCAGCACACTTTGGCATCGTCGCTTGGGTCATCCATCTCCCTCAACATAGGCGGATTTACCCACTGCTTTTAGAACTTTTTCTTCTAATTTTCATTGTAAAGCTTGTGCTCTATCTAAGAGTCACAAACTATCTTTTTCCCATTCTTCAAATTGTAGCACAAAACCTTTAGATTTGGTACATACTGATGTATGGGGTCCTTCCCCAATTTTGTCAAATCAATGATTTAAATATTATATACTCTTTGTTGATGATTATTCTCATTTTTGTTGCGTTTTTCCAATGAGACTTAAATCAGAAGTTCATTCTAAGTTTGTAATTTTTAAAGCATATGTGGAAAAACAATTTAACAAACCAATTAAAATCCTTCTTTCTGACAATGGTGGTGAATTCATTAACTCTACTTTTCAAAACACATTAAAAACTGCTGGTACCATGCATCAATTAACATGTCCCTATACGCCTAAGCAAAATGGCGTTGCTGAAAGAAAGCATCGTCATATTATTGAGACTCTACGAAGCCTCTTACTTGATGCCAATGTTCCCTTGTCCTTTTGGCCAGATACTCTACTCACCACCATCTATCTCCTCAACCGTTTACCAATTTCAACCATTCCTAAACTTTCTCCATTTCAACTCCTCTACAACAAGTCACCAGATTATACCGTTTTAAAAACTTTTGGTTGTTTGTGTTATCCTTGGTTACCACATCTTCCCAAACATAAGTTTGACCCCAAATCCTCCTCTTGTGTTTTTCTCGGCTATGCTTCAAATTCTAAGGGTTACAAGTGCTACAATATTGAATCGAAAAAATTATTCATCTCTCGTCACGTTAAATTCTTTGAACATCTATTTCCCTTTCAATCTCTTTCTCAACCGGTTTCATCCAACTCAAATCATCCATTCTCTACACCCTTAACCTTAGTTCCCATAACATCTACTTCTGCTCTTGTTACCTCTCTAACACATAGGCCCCAACCTACACAATCTACCACAGTTTTCACACCAAATTCTGACTCGTTACCCTCATCAAAAATATCACAGCCACCTTCATCTCCTCAAAATACTTCTCCATCACCTCCACCTAAACATCACATGCTTACCCGTTTCCAAACAGGAAACTTAAAACCAAAACACATTGTTAGCATGTCTCTTTCCTTACAACCCGTGGATCCTACTTGCTACTCTCAAGCTTCCAAGCACTTACATTGGCGTTAAGCTATGTCCACTGAATTTGATGCTTTACAAGCACAAGGTACTTGCTCACTTGTGCCTCCTTCATCTAATCAAAATGTTCTTGGTTGCAAGTGGATTTATAAAACAAAATACAATGCGGATGGTTCTATTGCAAGATACAAAGCACGGTTAGTCGCTCAAGGTTTTAAACAAGAATACGGGTTGGATTATTTAGAGACTTTTAGTCTGATTGCCAAATTTCCAACAATCCGTATTTTTCTAACTGTTGTCGTGACTCATAAGTGGAAATTTCTACAATTAGATGTCTCTAATGCTTTCCTTCATGGAGATCTTACAAACACAGTCTATATGTCTCAACCAATTGGGTTTGTGGATTCATTACATCCAAACCATGTTTGCTTACTCAAAAAGTCTATCTATGGCTTGAAGCAGTCACCACGACAATGGTTTGCAAAATTTTCCACTCATTTGCTCAAGTTCGATTTTCAGCCTAGCTTAGCTGATCCGTCCCTTTTGCTATACAAACAAGACTTCAAGATTTTATACCTTTTAATATATGTCGATGACATTTTTATTAACTAGAAATGATGAATAGTTCATTTAGCAATTATTACAAGATCTTCATCAGCATTTTAGTTTAAAAAACCTTGGCAGCATTCACCATTTTCTCGGCGTTACCATCCAGGCAAGAGAAACGGGCTTATTTTTATCACAGGAAGCTTATGCATCTACTATCCTCTCAAGAGCTGGAATGAAAAATTGCTAGAGTTTAGCTACTCCTATGGCCGTAAAATCTACACCAACTGCAGACAGTGATAAATTGTTTTACAATCCTGATTTGTATAAGCATTTAGTTGGATCTTTGCAGTATTTAACTATTACGAGACCAGATATCTCTTTTACAGTTAACAAACTCTGCTAATTCATGCATAAACCGTCCAATGACAATTTTTATCTACTCAAACGGCTTCTCCGATATCTCAAAGGTACATTACCTTTTGTTCTTTTAATTCAGTCGACTCACTTACAACTTTCTGCTTTTTCTGATTTGGATTGGGCTGGCAATCCCATTGATCGCAAGTCTACAACGGGATATTGTGCTTATCTTGGACAAAATATTATTTCTTGGCAAGTGAAAAAGCAGAAAAATGTTCCTAGATCATCTACTGAGGCAGAGTATAGAGCACTTGCAACAGCTGCGGCAGATCTCTTATGGCTAAGACATCTTTTACTTGAATTTGGGATTTCAACAACAAATTCAACCGAATCATTTTGTGACAATATTTTAGTAATAGCCTTAGCCAATAATCCTATATTTCATGCTCGTACTAAACATATAGAGATAGATTACAATTTTATTAGAGATTGTGTGAACTCAAAATCTATCTATATTCATCACATCACTACTGTTGATCAGTTAGCTGATATTTTCAATAAACCTTTACATACCAAACGCTTTCAAGCTTTAAGATCCAAGCTTACACTCTTTGATACGAGTGTTAGCTTGCGGGGGGATGATAAGATGAAGTGATAAACATTATGTCTTATACTGTTGTAGCCGTACATCATGCTGGTTTCCAGCCACTACTCTGTCGTTGCAGGCAAATGCTTTTACATCTTAAATCAAGACCGTTGCTGCTCAACTGATTTGATCTAACCGCTCCTGTAATACTTAGGTCATCAAATATATATTGTACATGTAGCTGAGCAAAAGGGTTAGAGGGAAGTATTATGAAATTCTGTTGCAGCGTCTCCTCTCTTTCATGAATTTCTCTTCTCTATTATTTCTCTGTTCTTGCTTCCCTTGCAGGTGTTGAAGATATAACAACGTTTCACACCATGTGCACGTGCATTTATACTAGTATTTTCAAATGATTCATCATATCGTTCAATATATTAAAGGTATACTTCATCTTGGTTTACCTATGAGTAAGGAAAGATTGTTCTAAAATCCTTTGTAGATGTTGACTGATCTAGAGATATATTGGATAGAAAGTCCACTACAAGGTAATATATCTTTTTTGGACCAAACCTCATCAGTTGGTGTGCTAAGAAGCAATCAACGGTGTCCTGTTCCTCCACCGAATCTGAATATTGAGTTCAGCAGCCACAAAAATCATTTGGCTCCGCAGAATACTTACCAAATTTCATATACATTTTTCACATCCAACTGCTCTATATCTAATTTTAAAACTGCTAAACAATCTATACCATTTGATTCTAGCGACTGCACAAAGAAAGTTCAGACTTGCTCCTCTCTTACTATTTTCTGACTCCTCTGTTTGCTCTACATCCTGCTGAAAGATGATAACTACCTATTATCTCATTACCGTGGAAAGTCCTCTTCAACATTTGGAATTGGCATCTCTCCTAAAATAAATACATCTACATTATAATATTGTGAAATAGATATACATACAATATGTAGTTGAAATAAAAAATAGTTCTGAAGGAAAAGCTTTCTCCTCTATTTTTCTTGTTTTGTGTTTACTATTCTACTGCCTTCTTTAAAGGTTTCAACAAATGCAAACTAAACTCTTCTAACTCTTAAATCATAAAAATAGAAGTAATATATGAATTGAACCGCACACCACCTTGCCATAATCTTTGAAATTGGTTTTTGAATATATACTCCAGGATTGCAGGGTCTGTAGTGCAGAACATATTGAGAAAAGGAGCAGACAATATGCATGTTTTACGTTTACGAGAGACATTTGTGAGGAATTCATGCAATCTTCAAAAAATTAGAAACATGTGGTTCTAGCGATCAGATGGTATCTCTTCTTTGCTTTTCATGACCAAAATTCGTAGCTTTTGAACTTTTTTATTGCAACCAAAACCAGCACAAATATTACTATTGGTTGCAGGCATTTAGCCATGAAAGAATGATAAAGAGCCCCATCTCTTGAGCTTGGTGGTTTGAATTTGAAGACGAGTTGTGGCACGTGATATATATATAAAAGCAAATATAGTTTTGTAAATTAAAATCCCTTTATTCTAAGATTAGTGTTGCATATAATATCTTTATAAATTAATTTCAAATAGATGGTAAATTTAAGTCATATATTAATTCCTGTACGTTGTGTGGAAATTGGCAAACCCTAACGCTATGTTCCTGCTTAAAAGGAAAAGTTATTGTTACGTCCTGGAGTATTCGCAGCGGTAGAAAAATATATAGTTTAACGTCGTAGTATTGTACGAAGATCCAGCACATAAGCATATAAGATAGAGGGTGTAGCGTTCATAAGAGAAACTAGAGTTTTTACATAGAAACCTCTGAAAAGGGAGAAAAATCATGGGGCCTGGCCTAGTTTGAATGAATCCACTAGTATTTGCAGTCGATTACAAATGATGCATTTCTTAGGAAGAAGGCCTTGGCTTGATGTCACAAATGTACATCATATAGAGCGCATTACATGGTGGGAGTTACAATAATCAACATAGACATGTTTGTTTGGTCGGCATGACCATAGTTGATAGGATAGAGGTCAGAAAAATTGTTGTAGGCAGGAGACCGGGGTCAGAAAGATCATTGTCCCGCAATGTAGGTTGGAAGGACTGTAGTATGTAGGAGACCGAGGTCAGAAAGACCGTTGTTTGGCGATGTAGGTCGGAAGGACCGTAGTTTGCAGGAGATCGAAGTCAGAAAGATCATTGTAGTAGGACAGTACTCTGATAGAACTTTAGTCATTAGGTGGTGGCTCGATAGAAGTTCGAGCCTCTGGTGATGGTCCGATAGAAGTCCGGGCCTTAGGTGGTGGTCCGTCAGAAGTCCGGGTGTCAGGTGGTGGTCCGGTAGAATTTTGAGTCTTAGGTGGTGGTCCGGCAGAAGTCCGGGTGTCAGGTGGTGGTCCGGTAGAAGTTCGGGTCTCAGGTGGTGGTCCGGCAGAAGTCCGGGCCTCAGGTGGTGGTCCGGCGGAAGTCCGGGCCTTTAAGTGGTGGTCCGGTAGAGGTGAGGGCCTCAAGTTGTGGTCCGGCAAAGGTGAGGGCCTCGAGTGGTGGTCTGACGGAGCTCGGGGCCTTAAGTGGTGGTTCGGCGGATGTGAGGGCTCGAGTGGTGGTCCGACGAAGCTCGAGGACGTAAGTGGTGGTCCGGCAGAGCAACGACGTCAGACGGTGGTCCGGTGGAACTTAGGCGGTGGTAGAGAAGGAGCGAGGAACAAGGAGGGAAGAGTGATCTCCGATCTTTTTCATGCTCTTTTGCTTGGAGCCCTCCATTCAAGAGGGAGGAGGGGTCAATTTATAGATTTTCTAAAGTGGCATTGCGCGTAAATAGTTAGGAGATCAAGGGCATATGGGGAGTGGCTTAGATGAACGGTCGATGTTGAAACCCTTAATTGTGGACCGTTTGATGGATATTTGAATGTCTTAGTGATGTCATAATTTAGTTATCTTGGGCTCGTTGGATTTGTCTCGTCAAGTTGCTCGATTCGACTATAAGCACATCATGTTTGGAAACCGTTTGGTAACCAAAATTGTGGTTCGAACCCCTATAATAGCTCTTCGGACCCTTGATTTGGACCGATTTGTGCTCGGATTGAATCAAATTTAGTGTCATTGGGTTCGTATTTTTGAGACGCTCAGTTCAACTATATGTTTGCTCAAATAGGAGTTTGAATGATCCCAAGCTTAATTTCGGAAGTTTCCAACTTGATTTTTGCCTTGAGATTTGTGCCCGATCAAGAAATTTTTTTTGAGGATGTATAAGTTATAATGGTTATCAACAATGCTATCTTAAAGCAAGCGGAATCTCATATTTGATATTTCTGAAATCAAAGACAAGGTTTCCATGGTGCCGGAGGGCATTCGTGAGAAAAGCTCACATCATGACCGTGATCGAAATCGGGCCGCGTTCATGATGGCAATTTCATCCCCACTCCCACTTCGTTTTCGTTGTCGCTTCCACTCCGATCATGCGATGTCAAACATCTCGCTTTGGAATGCCATACTCCAAGGAGCTTCAAGTGGTATTAGTACAAAAACAGCTCGTATGCTTACTTTGTGAGATGTTCATGTCATCCTCGGGGTTAGAAATGTTTCTGCTGATAACAATGTGAAGGAAATGATTTTGAAGGAGATCCCAATTGCTAAAGTTGATGCCTTGAAATTAGACCTCCGTTCAATGGCTTCTATGAGCAAAATTGCAACAGATTTCAATTCTCTAAATCTTCCTTTGAATATTTTAATTAACAATGCAGACGCGGGGATGCCATCATTCATGCTCTCACAAGATGTCATAAAGAATTTCCTTATGTGGTGTAATGCCAAAGGTTGGTTAGAATTAGCTTGTAAGCTATTTGATGAATTAACTGAGAATAATCTTTTTTCATGGAATGCCTTGATTGGTGAGTTTAGCAGTAACCAACTGCCTTAAATGGTATTGGAGTTTGTAGATGGAATCAGGAGCTTAGTATAATTGGGATAAAGAATTCATTTCAATGATCAAATATGTTGTTATTGATCAATTATGCAAATTCGTAGAAGTCCAAAGCAACTCATAAGGCTATTGATCGAGCTTGTGGACGTGCATAGAAGATGCAGAATTTTTGATACAGGTATTTGATTTTTACATCTATCTCCCTCCTTATAACGCATCTCAACGGAGTCGAGCTCTTTTTGACATAAGGGGGGAATGATGCAGAACATTTTAGCTTAAAATTTCTTTGTGATATTTGATTTAGTTTATTACATGTTTCTAGAATCTTTTAATTTTTTTTTACTTGATTAGTATATATTGAATGATGTAAGAAGAATAAAGCATGGGCGAATAATATTTTCTTTTAAGACTTTGAATTTTGTATTTGTCCTGGATTGTTCTTGCACCAATCCACTACATGGACTACGAGGCAGCTTCGCCTTCTCTCCCAGTTAAGATCCGTTTACTTGACTTATGCCGAACGCAACCTTTTCCCGCTGGAGTTCTTTCTCATGCGAGCTCTGTTTCTCCTACTGTTCATTTGTTCTGCTCTCTCTACCTCGATCATCGTTGCCATGGCGGAATGGTTTGTTGGTCCAATCATGGACAAGATCATCAACGCTTGCTCTGATTACCTGGAAGAGCAAGTCGGATGGCAGACGGGCATGAAGAAAGAGCTGCAAAGGCTGCGAGAGAACCACCCCAAGATCCAAGCTGTCGTCTTTGCCGCTAACCAAGCACAAATTAGCGATCAGAACCCGGCTCTCAACATATGGATATGGCAGCTGCGAGATGCTATTGATGAGGCAGATGATGTGCTGGATGAGTTTGAGTGCATGAAGCATAAAGAACAGCTCCCCAAAAACACGGAAGAAGAAAAGGTGCGTTCCGCCACCACGAGCTTCCTATTTGATTCTGCTCGCTAATATATTTATTTGATAATCTATTTCTAATTAATATGATCAGAAAAGAAAGCTCACGAGCTTCCTATTTGAAAGCCCTCGTGAAATTCTCAAAATTGGCGAACGTGTTCTTAAAAGGGATCCCAACTTGAAGCGACTGGAGGAGGCTGTGCAGAAACTTGATAAAGTTTCGGCTGATGTTGCTACTTTCCTTCATCTTTTAGACAGCGTGAAGCAGGAACAGAAGGAGCAGGAGATTGATTTCTACAAAAGACGGGAAACAGGATATTTGCCTAAAAATGATCTCATCGGGCGGCGCAAGGAGAAGGAGCTTGTTGTGCAGTGGTTGAGGAAGCCATCAAATGAGCATCGGGGAACTGATTTGTACAGAAACATTTCTCTTCTATCTATAGTGGGTCATGGTGGTATGGGGAAGACAACTCTCTTGCAACATGTTTATAAAGATGATGAAATTACAAAGGAATTTGATCTTAAAATGTGGGTTTGTGTTTCCAACAACTTTGATGTGAAAAAAGTCATTGCAGATATGTTGGAATGTCTTAAGAAGGAGAGGCCTCGTTGGGAGACACTTGTGGCACTTCAAGGGCGTCTCGAGGAGGAGGTGATGTACAAGAAGTTCTTACTTGTGCTGGATGATATTTGGGAGGAGGAGGAGGAACGGGATAGAAGTAAATGGGAGAATGTGTTCGCCCCTCTAGCTTCTCGGGCTTTTGGTAGTAAGATTCTGGTAACAACTCGAACAGATTCAGTTGCACTGATGTTTGCAAACTTAATTAAAAAGAAGAAGGAAATAATTAAATTAAAGGGCCTAGAGAAAGATGAGTGTTTGCAGCTCCTCAACTCTCATGCATTTTCTGGTGTAGAGAACCCTAATGATCATGAAAATTTAAGAGTCATTGCTCGAGATATAGTTAAAAAGTTTTCAAGTTCTCCTTTGGCAGCAAAGGTCATTGGTGGTGTTCTAAATTCTCTTGACTTGGATGAAAGGCGTTGGAGGACAGTTCTAGAAAGCAATTTATTGGGTCAGACTTCTGTCGATTCCATCTTAAGACTGAGCTATATAGTTCTGCCAAATCCTTTAAAAAGTTGTTTTGCATTTTGCGGCATGTTCGCACAAGATCATAAGTTTGATAAAGAAGATTTAATCCGAATGTGGATTGCGTTGGGTTTCATTCAGCCATCTCTTGATCAAGAAGAGACTATGGAGGATATCGGGGGAAGGTATTTTGACGTTTTGGCTAAAAAATCTTTCTTTGACAAGTTTGACAAAGGCTACAAGATGCATGATTTACTACATAAATTGGCACAGTCAGTTTTCAAACAAGAATGTTTAAGGGTTGAGGATAGTACAAAGTTGCCTTCTAAAATTCCTGAGACTCTGCGACACTTGTCTATTAAAACTACAAATCTAGACATCTTAAGACAGATTGAGAAGTTTAAACATTTGCATTCTCTTTTCTTGTTCTATGAAGGTTCTAATCAGGATCTTTGCGGTGCACTTATTAAAATATTCAAAGCATCGAGATGCTTGCGCTTATTATACATACATACTCATGAATTGGAAATGATACCTGAGGAGATTGGATATTTGAAACATCTTCGATATTTGGATATTAGAAGAATTGATGTCACTGGGCTACCAAGATCTCTAAGTAACCTCTATCACTTGCAATACATAATCTATGAAGGATGGGTAAAGTCAAGCCGACTTGGCCGACTTGAAGTTGATGATGTTTTACCAATTGACATTAAAAGCTTTTCTAACTTGCGTTTGGTGACATTGCTCGGACATTGTTTTTCATCGGTACGTGGGATTGGGAAGCTAAACTTTCTTGATGAATTGGAAATGTTTGATCTTAGAGATGAGATGGGTTATAGAATTGATGAGTTGAAGTATTTGAATTATCTTTGCAAATTAGGCATCAATTGCCTTGAAAATTTGAAGGATGCCGAGGAGGCTCGTAATGCCCAACTATGTGAAAAGAGGAGGCTCGCAGATTTGACCTTATGTTGGAGTGACACTGATTCAAGGAATATCGATTTAAATCAAAACGTGCTCGACAACCTTCAACCACCAAAATGTCTAAGGAATCTGAGCATAAAGAGATACATGGGTGCAAGGTCTGCAATATGGATGAACAATGTCAATCTGCTCTCCAGCATACAAAAAATTGAGGAAATCGAATTGTCAGATTGCATGGAATGGGAAACTCTTCCACCTTCTGGGCAACTTCCCTTTCTCAAGTCTCTGAGACTTTCTAACATGCCGAAAGTAAAATGGCTCGAAAGTAAATTTAATGGGAATGATAAATACCGTGCTTTTCCATTGCTAGAGGTGTTATATATTTGGGGATTAGAAGCATTAGAAGATTGGTTTGAGGCAGGAATAGCTGCTGAAGATGGATGTTTGTTTCCTTGCTTAATTGAACTGACCCTATCTCACTGCCCGAAGTTGAAAGAGTTGCCCTCTTTGCCTTCTAAGCTCATGAGGTTGCAGATAAATAAAATTAGGTGGACTACTTTGAATTTTTGTAGCAATTCAAATCCTATTCCCCTTGAAATATTATTAGTCCTTTTCTGTCCTAACATTACATCTCTTCCTCTGGCTGATGAAGCAGCAAGACTTGCTGGACTAAGATTCTTGGCAATTTTAAATTGCCCCAATCTGGTATCTCTCGGAAGACATCGAGAAGTGGAGGCCACTAATAATTGCCATCTCATGGTCAGGAATCTCTGGATAAGCGACCCATCGGTGTTGCTAATGGAGCCATTGACAAGTATCGCCTCCGTAAAAACGCTGTTTATTACGGATAATGATGAGCTGGTTTCATTTCCAAATGAGGCGGAGCAGTGGCTTATGAAATTTAGATCTTCTCTTTATGAGCTGCAATTTGAAAGGCTCAAATCCTTACAGTCTCTCCCTTCCTCCTTGGAAAGCTTTTCTTCACTTCAGAAACTATGTATTCAACATGTTCCTATGCTTCGTGAATTGCCGAACCTTCCTTCCTCTTTGGAAAGTCTATCAATTGCGGGATGTCATCCAGAGTTATATGAGCTCTATCGAGGGGATGGAGGCTCCGATCGGCACAAGATTGCTCACATTCCTTATATCGATATTCCTCCCTGAAAATTTCAAAATACATAAGCTGCAAACTTCTTTCTTCTTATCTTTTTTGTACCACTTGATCCTTTATATATATACATATATTGTTCTTTTTATATTTCATTATATATTGTTCTTTAAATATTTCATTAATTCAATTGATCCACGAATAATTTAGAGCATGTACGTGTCATACTCTTAGCGAACAAAATTTTGAAGTAATCAAATATGAACAAATAATGAGCCTGTCAAATTAACTAGGCTCATTTACAACCCTAAACTCTTTTAATTCATTTTATTATTAGTTTATGTTTAGGGCTATAGCCTATATATATAAATTAAATTGAGTTTAGTACTATATTGATCAAATCCATTCATTTATTTTCTTATCAAATTCAAGTACAATTTATACATTTCTTGAATTTTAAATCTTATTCAAGCTTAATAAGTTTTCTTTTCAATTCATTTCAAAATTAAGCTTTAATAAGACTCAACTAATTATATATTTAATTGATATTAATAATTTAAATATATAACTTAATTATTAAACATGATCAAAATATATAAATTTTAAGAAAAATTGGTGCAATTCATTAAGTATTATTTAAATTATTGGATAAAAATATAAATATTAATAAAAAAGTTCATATCTATGTATCCAACTATTTATTTGATATTTTCATTTCATATATAAATATCAAAATAGAAATAATTTTTAAAACTTATAAACTATAAAAAAATTAATAAAATAACACAAAATAAATCATCAAATAAAAAATTAATCATCATTAAATTATCATTTTATCTTTTTCTTAACAAAACATTTATTAAATAATAAAATTCAACTAATGAGGCTATATTTGATTCAATATCATCTTACTCATAATATAACTTTATCTAAAATAAATTATTATATCAAAATCTGACTAACATTTAGATATTATCTGCTAATAATACAATGTCATTTTAGATATCATAGAAATAAATAACGAATAACTATTAGATTCTTTACATAAAACCCACAAAAAATGCACATAAAATAGTAAGACACAATACTACCATTTCCCAAACAACAATAGAATTTTTTTTTTTCACAAATAAAACGTCACACAAAATGCACTATTTATTTAAAGAATTATAGTCTTATGGTATTCTGCAAATATCACACAAGTTATAAATAGTTTCAATTATATTGACATATTTATAAAGATATTGTTCATATCTTCTGCAAGCTAAAAATTTTGTTACGAAACGTACGTGTCGTCTGTTGTATGTATCCTCGTGCACAAAGACTAGATTTTCTGTCCAAGGAGGGATATGGGGTTGTCTTAAAGCAATCCCCTGATTATGTGGAGGACCCCATGACTGTGAAGTTTTTTTTTGTTTTTGAAGTGCCAAATAGTAAATAATTCCTAAAGAAACACTTGCATGTGATAAAAATGCACTTCAGAAAAGACCCCAAGCTTCAAAACATAGCTGTAACCACCTAAATACATCTTTTGAATACATTTCTAATCATTTAGTGCAGAACCAGTCAATATTAAAAGAAATGGTATGACAAAAATAATCCTGCATAATGCTAAATCTAGTATATTAGTGAAAATAAAAAAAAGGAAGACTAATGCCTTAAATTTTAAGAATGGATTCATTGAGTATCACATCCATCAGTGCAGTTTTCTTAGGAAGTCGACTTAGGCTTCGTTTGGGACGGCTTTCCTGGTAGCAGTAACCACCCAAATACATCTTTTGAATATATTTCTAATCATTTAGTGCAGAACCAGTCAATATTAAAAGAAATGGTATGACAAAAATAATCCTGCATAATGCTAAATCTAGTATATTAGTGAAAATAAAAAAAAAGGAAGATTAATGCCTTAAATTTTAAGAATGGATTCATTGAGTATCACATCCATCAGTGCAGTTTTCTTAGGAAGTCGACTTAGGCTTCGTTTGGGACGGCTTTCCTGGTGCTTCTAAAAGCCGCTTTCTAGTAGAAAAATTTAATTTTTGTACTAGAAAGTGACTTTTAGAAGCACCAGGAAAGCTGTCCCAAACGAAGCCTTAGTGTTTGCGAAGATTGGAATTAGAAAGTTTTTAAGTTGAATATCCTAAGTCAATCACTAAGAGATTTTCAATTCTTTGTTTTACTCTATTGCAAGATAAATTTTGCAACGTCATAGAATTTAAAGTTTATAAAGGAAAAGTTTGTTTATTGTACATGTATTGCTTTCGTTTGAATTGTTGGTATATTTATTCACTTGGATCAGAAGAGCATCCTGATATGCTTTGTTAGTATTTCTTGTATTCATTTCAATTCCTCTAGCACTCAAATTAATGCATCTTTACCTCATAGTGAACCCAAATCAGCTACTATGTTTATTATAATATTAGTATCATAAGTATTAAAGAACTGTCGTTTCATGCTTTATATTACTCTATTTTTCACCTTGACTAAAATGCAGGTTTATCTTGTTGACAGCTAAGCATGAAACAAAACTTGAAACAAATAGCTGAGACGAAGTCAACCGTCATTTCTGTTATTTCTGTTAAAAGCTTGTACTGTCATTTCTTGATTCTAATTGCCCATAAATATCAGTGTGTAAGATAGTAATGAAAGCAAGATACTTACAGATTTTTCCCTTCTCATCTTCTCTGTCATTTCGTAAATTCTGTTTTCACTGCAATACAAAATGATGAACTGTTAGCTTCACAACAATACAGTTTTCATGGTATCAAAGCTATTGCTCAGAGATTAGAGTTTTTTTTTCTCACCTCTTATGGCCGGATCATCTTCCAACTCGCCGGCGATGGAGTCAAATTCATCCACCACTACCACGATAATACCTCCACAGCTTAAATTCTTGATGAGTAACATCAAGAATCTCATTCCGAACTCACTGACATATGAAAACTACTCGATCTGGAGCTATCAAGTGGAGAAAATCTTTCTTGCAAATGAGTTCAAAGGTTTTTTAGACGGTACATCTAGTTGTACTTCACGATCCTCTGGTTCAGACGGATCTTCCGCAACCGGCACCACGACTTCATTTGATAACTGGATACTAATTGATCAAAATCTTGCAGCTGCATTGTATTCAATTATCTCATCGTCAATCTTACCTTATGTTATAACGCTCACTCTCTTTCATGATATATGGATCACCTTATCTCATCGTCTTCAAGCAACAACTCGTTCTCGCATAATTCAGTTGAAAAGTGAGTTGCATCAGATATCAAAAGGCAACAAGACGATGACACAATATTTTATTGAAGTAAAATCTAAGGTTGATGCCATAACAGTGACTGGCCACAGTGTTGATCCTGAGGATGTAATTCTTTACACCTTAAATGCACTTCCGGCATCCTATCAATCATTTAAAACAACGATCAGGACCAATCTACAACCACTACGCTTAGATGATCTCTACAGCTTAATGTGCAACGAAGAGCAGATCTTAGCAAATGAAGCAACACACGACCTTCAATCCTTAAATTTGACAAATAACTCCATGGCTCTCACTGCCTCTCATGGTCGAGGCCGAGGGAGGTATAATAATAATTCAAGAGGAAGCAGAGGCCGCCGAACATCACAACAACCTGGTCATGGAGACAGACCAGACCGCAATTCAAATCGTAATATCATTTGCCAGATATGTAACAAAACAGGTCATTCAGCAACCAGATGTTGGTATCGAACCGACCCAGCTTATAAAGATTCAGGATCTCATAATGCTTTGTTTACATCACCAAATATTGTCAACCAAACAGACTGGTTTCTTGATAGTGGGGCATCAACACATTTAACAGCAGACTCATCTTAATTAAGCACAGCTGAACCATACAGTGGAACATCTCAAGTGGTTATTGGCAATGGACATCAACTCCCAATTCAGCACACTGGTCGTGGTCTCTTACCCACACCAACAGGTAACCTTCTTCTTCATAACATTCATCATGTACCCAACTTCTCTTTCAATCTTTTCTCGGTTCATCAGTTAGCCACTGATAATGATTACATCATATCATTTTCCACCAATGGCTATCAAATAAAGGATTCGAAGACTCATCATCTTCTACTTCAAGGACCATGCCATAAGGGTCTTTACCAAATCAATTATGCTACCAAGCTTCCGCAAATGGCATTAATCTCAGCAGAAACAATACCAGACCTGTGGCACAATCACCTTGGGCATCCAGCAACATCTACTTTAAAATCTTTAGCTAGCAAATATTCTGATATATGTACTTCTACCATTTCTACGTGCAATACTTGTTGTCTTGCCAAGAGCAAGCGATTACCCTTTCCCAATTCTACTTCCAATACTACTGCACATTTTCAACTTGTTCATTCTGATCTCCGGGAGTCGGCACCCTCACCATCTGTACAGGGCTACAGATACTATGTTTTGTTCTTTGATGACTATACTATATATTGTTGGGTCTTTCCATTGTTTCGAAAATTAGAGGTTACGCGTACATTCATGAATTTTCATCAAAATATCAAATGTCAATTTAACCAAACCATTCAAACAATCATAATCGATGGTGGTGGAGAGTATTTGAATCATATTTTTAAATCATATTGTATTAAGCATGACATTTATCATCAATTGACTTGCCCACATACACCATCTCGAAATGGTGTTGTTGAGAGGAAGCATAGGCACATAATAGAAACCGTTAGAAGCCTTCTCATTCATCCAAACGTTCCTTCCACTTTTTGGATTGAGGCGTTACATACAACTATTTATCTAATCAATAGACTGCCCACTCCAACTCTTCACAACAAAGCACCTTTTGAACAACTATATCAAAAAATATCCCATCTACACACATTTGAAAACCTTCGTCTGCATATGTTATCTATGGCTAAGACCATATACAAAATCTAAACTATCTCCTCTCTCACTCCCGTGCATGTTCATAGGATATACTCAAACACAAAAAGGCTTTAGATGTCTAGATCCTAATACTAATCGTGCCTATGTATTTAGACATGTGATTTTCAATGAGAAAATATTTCC